TACACACATAACCTCAAAAACATCCTACGAACTTATTCGCGCGATCAAATCGTCAAAATAACATCATAAACATCGAATTAAACCTCAAAGTCCAAGAATTCTTTCAAACTTCATAAAACATCAAATTTCCCAATTTAGGTCCGAATCACGTCAAACGACGTCCGTTTTCAACCAAATTTCACAGGAATGACTTAAACCATATATAAGACCTATACCGGGCGCCGGAACCAAAATACGGGCCCGATACCAACACGTTCTAATCAATTTTCACTTCAAATTTCCTTAAACAGTTTCAGAAAATAATTTTACTAAAAAATTCATTTCTCGGGCTTGGAACCTGGAATTCGATTCCGGACATATGCCCAAGTCCCATATTTTTCTATGGACCCTCCGGGACCGTCAAATCACGGGTCCGGGTCCGTTTGCCCAAAATGTTGACCAAAGTCAAATTTATTCATTTTAACATCAAAACTTAGCATTTTTCACAGAATTTCATATTTAAGCTTTCCGGCTACGCGCCGGACTGCGCACGCAAATCGAGGCAACTCTAAATGAGGTTTTCAAGGCCTCGGGGACACAGAAGTCAATTAAGAACAGGTGATGACCCTTTGGGTCGTCACAAGTACCCAACTAAGAATCAATGTGTCTAACAGAACAGTTTAATTACAGTAATTAATTCTTGAAATGTTCATGTGAGTCCATCAATAAATGTCTTTCTATAATACTAGTATTAGTACCCGCGCGGATGCGCGGACACTAATCATGTCAAATATTTAAGTTATTTGGATTGTATGTAAATAATCTTAAAATTTACACTTTCTTAGTAAATATAGATAATCATTGGATATTAACTACATGAAAAAATTAACCATTTCTTCTATTTTTCTTTTTTGATACCATTCTTGCCGGTGTCATTGATCCTAAAAATAGTCAGGAAGCAAAATAATAACTCATATTTATGGCAAAACAATCAAATATTGAGACAATGAATGACTCTTTGTATAAGACTTAACTCTTTTACTACTACTTGAACTCTTATATGGTGTGTTGATATCTCTTAAAAAATATTTCTTTCTTGAAATTTCTGTTTCTAAAATATTATATTTCAATAATAATAATTTTTATAATAATATAATTGAAAATATTATTCTTAATTCAAAACTCATTTTAGTTGGCTATCTAAAAATATAAAAAATTCTTTAGCTAGTGAATCTTTTTTACTCCATTTTGATATTTGACATTAACCATGTTAAATATCTGAGTTATTTGAATTATATGTAAATAACCTTAACATTTAAACCTTCTAAATAATTATAGATAATCGTCAGATATTAATTAAGAAACACTACATGAAAAAAGACTAACATTTTCTCAATTCTCGTAGTGATAATTTTATTTTTGCACTATTCTCATAGGTGTCATTGGAACCTAAAAATAGCCACAAAGTGAAATAATAACTCATATTTATGGCAAAGCACAAAGGTTGACACGATATAAACGATTCTTTGATTACGACGTGACTCTTATACTACGACTTGAACTCTTATTTGGTATGATTTTATCTTTCAAAAAATATTTCTATTCCGAAATTTCAATTTCTAAAACTTTATATATATTATAATAATGATTATCTTTATAATGATGCAAGTGAAGATATTATCTCAATTTAAAATTCACTTTAATCGGCTATCTAAAAATTTAAATGATTCTTTGGCCGGATTTATTTCAGTATGGCTCCACTTAAGTTTATTGATATCTCCAGCCCCAGAATTTGAAATTTTAATACCGTATATATACAAAAAATTTGTTCTTTGAATCATTAAATATTAAATTAGTTGATTATTATTATTATTATAAAACATTGCACATATTGTCTTAAAATTGGCAAGTAGTTTATTTTTTGACACCATGCTTGGCTTAACCTCAATGCAAACTACTCAAATTGCATTCCAATTCAAATTTGAATATCATATCAGTTTGTAGTAATAGTGAATTTTTTAAAACGACACATAATGTAAATTTTTTTAAAAAAAAATATTCTAAGATATCCTTATCTTATAATCTATGTATTTGAGTTGAAAAAAAATATTTAAAATCGATGAGATTAACTTTCAAATTTTTTATACTCACCAAAGATGAAACATAAGAAGAAATTTTTTGTCATCTTTTATTTCTCGTTTTTAGATCTTTCTAACATTTTTTTTTCCAATAATTTTTTTCTTTTATTCTTATTTTTTATCTTCATTAATTTCTTTTGTTACAAAAAATTAATTATTTCAACTATAAAAGGTTTGAGTTTTAATAAAAAGTCTCATATAAACTTTAATTATATTTTTAGTCTTTGGTTGTAATATTTTATATTTTTCTTTGACTTTATCTAATCAGCCTAAATAGGTGCTCACCCGACCTCTTAAATTAAACAATTGAATGAGTGTAATTTATATATAATCCATATACTAATATGTGTATAATCGTGTGTTTGTCGGTATATTCATCTATTGTATATTTAGCTATAAAAGTAGACCAATAAATATGGTCGGATATTATGTAAATATTCTATAAGATTTTGATTTTTTGAGTTTATCCATGATATAACTTCTATTATAATAATTTCAAAACTCTCTACTAATGTTCAAAAATATCTTATCTTTTTATTATCTTTGAATTAAAAAAGTAAAGAGTTTTTTCGAAATAATTTGTTTACATTAAAAAAAAAAAGCTTTCACTTCATACCAAATTTTTCTTTATATATACTCTTTGTTACACTTAAAAGTCACTATAGAAACTGTCAATTAGAAACCAATTTATCTCTTGTTGAGTTTGAAAAAAAAAACCTTCAAATAATCTATTGATTCAAAACTAATATTCTTCAACGAAAAAAATAATATACCTTGCAATATGGCTTGACTACAGCTAAATGAAGGGGTTCAGCTATATACCCTTTAATTCCTTGAATGTGCTAAATTGAAATTAATGATAGCAATTGTATAGCCAAAGTTATGTTATTTGTTTGATGTCCATTTATGCAAATTGACTCTTCTAACAAATTATTCTCAAGAAGAAAAGAAACAACTTCTTTTTGTTTTTTAATATTGATTGATTTTGTGATATTTATTTCTCCAGCATGTATGTTTACTTTATTATATATGAAGTAAGCTTTTATTTGGTTTTGTAAACTCTTTTTTGTTATTTAGATAAACATAGACGTGTACCTATATATTATATTTATTTTAAAAGAATTTCGTTTTATTGAAATCTAGCTACAGTGTTTCAAAGAAACTATACTTGTAAGAATTTTAAATGTGAAAGAGTTTTATAGTTATAATGGAGTAGTTTTTTTTGCTAGAGGCGAATAGTATTTAAAATAATTATAAAAAATAACAAAGTTCCTAACATGATTCATATCATCATTTAACCGAATAAGTATGGTAACATGCCCTAAACAAAAGATAAATTTTATTTATAAATTTCGAATTTTTAGACTTTAACTAATAAATTCAAAATTAAAAACTTTATATATATATATATATATATTATACTATAGTAATATATATATATATATAATATATATATATATATATTATATATATATATATATATATTAAGTATGATAACATGATAAAAAAAGATAAATTTTACTTTTAATTTAAAATCGAATTTTAGACTTTATCTATAAATTCAAATTTTATATATATATATATATATATATATATTATATTATATTATATTTGTATTTAACTAAAATAGTCAAATATATAATAAAGTTACCATATACTATTGACATTTAATAGCTTGCCACTTGGCTTAACTATAATGTCGATTATATATGGTAACTTTCTTGCTTTAATATATATATATATAGATAAGTAAATTATTACTAACTTCTTTTTATAAAGTTAATGTCAATGTTAGTACATTAAAGTTAATTAGTACAATCGGACGAACTATTTATATCATTTTAAACTACCTTAAGCAAATGAAAATGATTTTCCTAAGCTTGCATCAGCAAGTTATTTGATTCTTTAATTTACTATTTATAGTAACTCTGATATTCGCCCATTTCAACTCCGACGTATGACATTACTTTTCCGACGAATCACCGGTTCCGGGATGCTGCATTTCGGAGTGACGATAGATGCTGATGGTCCCACATCAAAGGTGGACCCCACCACCAAAACCCCCGTTGAGTGTGGCAACAGCATATACCACTAAACTCATCTTTCTATCACCTACCACTAAAATGAAAGATGTAACAATAATAACAACGTTAACAATTATTTTCTACTCATTCCAATCTGTTTGGTAGCTTTCGCTTATAAGCCTAATTTTGTGATCAGGGCGGAGCTAGAGTTTAGGTTACAGTTTGGAGTTTACAGTTCTGGTCGAATCTTTAGCTTTAGTCCAAATCATGTAGTATATATTATCTTAGGAAATTATTGAGCATGTACAAATTAATAATTCAGAACTTATTACTTAAAATGATTAAAATCTCAAAACCATAAGCTTCACCAATGTTTCTATGTAAATGGGACTAGAACAAAATAATTTTAAATTAAAATTTCTATACTTAATAAACTACATAAAAGTACTAATATTACATTAAGAAGAAGTTTCTCATATCAAAATGATGCAAGAGAATACATTTTAAAATATTAATCACTACTTAGTTTAAATTTTGCAAAACCAAAAATGTTGAGTGTCATGAGATAATGGAGTATTATAGTACTATCCAGTCTTAACTAGATATATATACTTCAACTAAATCCATAAGTGGGTTCCACTTGCAATATATTAAAACAGATCAGAATATTCAATTAGATTCAATAGCAATAGATAGTTAGTGCAAATTACACTCACGTGTGAGTGTGAGATACTCACACGCTTGAAACTCTTACGTAATATATTCTATAAGCTTTTTAATTTATTCCTTCTATTTGGATATAATAGAGACGTCCTTTAGTGCCTTGGCTCATGTTGTCTATAAATATGTTGCATGTCTCACTTCTTTTCCTTAGGAAAAACACAAATCTCCTCTTATTAGAGTGTTTTCCTCGCTTTTCACTTGATCAATTCTTTATTCTCTTCTCTTAAAGACTCAAACATATTCAGCTTAAATAATTACAAAAAAGATAATGGAAGGAAAAGGAGAATGTGGTTGCAGTTTTTACCAAAGGGCTAAGCCTTATATAGCCATGATTTCCTTGCAATTTGGGTATGCAGGGATGAATATTATTACAAAAGTTTCTCTTAATAGGGGAATGAGTCATTATGTTCTGGTTGTGTATAGGAATGCTTTTGCTACTGCAGTTATTGCTCCCTTTGCTCTTATTCTTGAAAGGTAAAATTACCCACAAAAATTAGAATTTTTGAAGTTTTTTGTTACAAGTCTTGAAAAACTGACAAGTCTTTAAATTTGTTGACAGAAAAATTAGGCCAAAGATGTCACTCATGATGTTCATGCATATATTTGTATTGGGTCTTTTGGGGCCAGTGATTGATCAAAATTTTTACTATGCTGGACTCAAATATACATCCCCAACATTTTCTTGTGCTATGAGCAACATGCTTCCTGCTATGACATTTGTCATGGCATTTCTCTGCAGGTACATATATATATTGTTCAGTACGTATTTTATTTTATAACGGTAGTGTCCGGACCAGTTTGTTCTTTTTCGGAAGTTTTGGACTTATTGATAAGGTTTATTTTAGGATGGAGAAAGTTGACATAAAGAAAGTTAGATGCCAAGCAAAAGTGTTGGGAACAATAGTAACAGTAGCTGGAGCCATGTTAATGACATTGTACAAAGGCCATGTTGTTAACTTGTTATGGTCAAATCACTCTATTATTAATTCTAGTGTACAAGAAACCAATGGAGATAATTCTGATAAAGATTGGTTTAAAGGTTCAATTCTCCTCATTTTTGCAACTCTTGCTTGGGCTTCTTTCTTCATTCTTCAGGTGTGTAATTGTACACTTATATATACTTAATTTCCATTTTTTTTCATTTTCTCTTTTCAAGAATTTCCAGAAAAAAGCTTCTTTTTTTTTTGGTTTTCTAAATGGTGATTTAATATTTGTGCAGAATATCACAATGAGGAAATACACAGCTCCACTTTCTCTAACTGCACTTGTTTGCTTTATGGGAACCTTACAATCTATAGCTATCACATTTGTAATGGAGCACAAGCCTTCTGTTTGGACTATTGGTTTTGACATGAATTTATTAGCTGTTGCCTATGCTGTAAGTTTAATTTCTTCTCCTTTCAATTTGGACTACTATTGGTTTTGTCAAAATAATATATAAGAATTAATGATGAATAACAAAAATATTTAATTTTCAGGGAATAGTATCATCAAGTATAGCATACTATGTACAAGGTGTTGTAATGGAGAAAAGAGGACCTGTTTTTGTGACTGCTTTTAGTCCTTTAATGATGATTATTGTTGCTATTATGGGCTCTTTCATTCTTGCTGAAAAAATCTATATTGGAGGGTAATTTTAATATCTCTCAACATCTTAATTACCTTTTCTATGTTTTTTTCCTCAATCTGATATAAACTAAAAACTTTATTTATTTTTGGTTCAGAATTCTTGGTGCAGTGCTGATAGTGGCAGGGCTATACTCAGTTCTATGGGGAAAATACAAGGAGTACAAAGAGAAGGAAATTGAGGAGGCAATAATTCCTGAAGCAGTGAAGGGAGTTAATGGAAATAATCAAATGATGATTTTTGTAGATAATTAATGATATAGAAATGCAAAAAAGTAGTGATGCAAACAAAATCCAAACTCCAATTAATTAGTGTACCAATGCCACAGCCCCTCATGTTAGCTAGGGAAGCACCAAAAGCTTAATTTTTGGTTGAGGAATTATTAGAAGCAAAAAAGATGGGAATTTTTTCCCATTTTTTTTAAAAAAAAAAATCTTTTAGCTGCCTGGTAAATTAAAAAGGCTCTATGTAACTTTTGGTGTAAGCTAGTAATATATTTTTGTATATTTTTTTTCTTGGAGAATATTGAAATAGCATAGAAATGTTCCTATTTTGTACGTACCTCAATGATTATAGAAAATCTTTCATATGTGTTGCCAATTAACTTACTGACGTCCGATTCATATTCCACTCAGTTAGTGGCTGACTGCCTGGCCCTATGATTTTATTTCTAGGACGATAATCTTATACTATAAGAATTTCTTCTTTTAGCAAGCCCTTAACATGATTGCCTAGGCATTTCAACTATTTGATACTAAAATAGAATTTTCTATTTAAATAAAGTTGGTAATTGGATAAGTTGCTTATAACATGTTGTTGTACTTACAAAGCTTATAGTAGATTGATATGCGAATAATTATATTGTAACTTATTGGAATTACGACCTAAATAGCAAATTTTAATTTGATATGTATAGTTCTTTAGTTTTGTGGACTCAATAAGTGTAAGCCAACAGGATATAGTGGATGAGGTTTGGCATGGAGCTTTAAGCTTTTTACATACAGGTTAGAGGTATATGAATAGCCTGTCGACCACGTTTATAAATTGCAATTCGGTTCATGTTTGGTTTTAATTTGATTCATTTTTGGCGGAACGAACGCTGCCAAATTTATTTAAAAAAAAAAAAAAAAAAAAAAAAAAACTCTTATTTAAACCTAGCTAGACCTTTTGGCGAACACAAGAGCGATAAAAATTCAATATTGAATTTATGCCTAGTAAATTGGTACATCCACAAACAACGAATGCAGAATGCTATATTCTTATTGTTAAGAAAATTGATCGAGATTTAGGGTGTGTTTGGTACAAGAAAATGTTTTCCATGAAAAATGTTTTCCTAGAAAATATTTTCATGGAAAATGAGTGATTTAATCACTTATTTTCCCTTGTTTGATTGGTGAGTGAAAAACTTTTTTCGGAAAATATTTTCTATTGTTTGGTTCGAGAGCAGAAAATATTTTTTAACAAAAATATTTTTTTATGCTACTCTCCTCACTCCCCCGCCCCCCTCGCCCAAGTCCCCATGTTTTCTTACTCGCCCCTCCCCCCCCCGACCCCCGT